TTCTGGGAGCAGGGCCTGGATGTCAGGTGCTCCCAAGGTACCCAAGAAAATTCTGTGACTCAGAGATTTCTCGTTCCTGGTTTGCATTTTAGAAGCATAAGTAGATTTTTTCCCGTAAAGCAGACAATTAACTGTGGTTAATTCTTGCAGCCTAATTCTAGTATGATCAACAGGTTGATTAGTATGGAGGTAGGCTGATTTGAATCACACATTTGTGACCTGAAATTCCTGCTCGAAACTACTAGATGGTATAGAGAATACCTGTAGAGTTAAAACATTGAAAGCCATCCCAGGAGGAGGAGTAGCAACTCTGTGCCAAGTTATTTGCTGTAAGAGGAGGTTCATCAACAATATTATGCAGAGCTGTGCTTGCCCCATCTGTTTTGTGTCAGCCGGGGCCCAAGATGTATTAAGTACTGGGACAATAACAAACTGTTTTTGCTCAGGTACTCTAGAAGCACTTTGAGAGGAGGATCAGAGCATAAAGAACATCACTTCGTTGTTGTTGTTGGCCATGACCTCATCAACCTAAATAGGAAGGTGAGCTCTGTCCAACACTCACTAGTGTGTGGCAAGGTGTGCAAGCCCTTTGGAATTAATTGTCTTTGACTATCTTTTAGGAGTTAACGGTTCAGGGTGGGGGTAAAAGAAACCGGCTGAGCTGTTCTAATTTAATTTTGATTCATGCGTGTTTGAGGCATATACAAATAGGCTGTGTCACGAAAGGGTGTTGCAGAGCCCTACTTTGGAGAAATAATTGCCTTCATCCGGTGCATCCATTAGGTTGAATTACAGTTCATTATCAAGTCACATACCTTGGATCCAGCCAAATGTGATTTATGCCTGGGGAAGTGGGATGAAAGGCGTGTTTTCAGATATATCACATGCATGTCTTATCATTTTAATAGCTTAAAACACTAGCAAGCTGTAAATGGATGTGATGTTTTCTCTCAATGTCTCTCTACCTGTTTTCTCCTTGAAACCTTGAGCGATGCAGCGTAATTAACCATGTGGCTCTGTATGAGTGTTGGTTACACATAATGAGGCTCTCCTGCTGTTCACTTGGCAAAAGACTGATTCAGAATTGCTTAGTCCTACTGAGCCAGATTTCCTACAGAAATTACTCAGGAATTAGCTTCTTGTGATTTTTTGAGTAAGTTTTGCAACTCTGCCCACGCACAAGCATGTACAGATGCATCTATATATACACTGTTATGGAAGGTGCCTGTGAAATCCCAGGGATGTGCAGTTGGAGATTCTTCTGTGATCTAGGCAAAGTTTTGCCTAGGCTTAGCATGAAAAGATTTCGAACAATAAGCATGCAAGTTTAGACAGAAAAAGGCCTACAACTCCCAGCATTCCCTAACCAACCATGCTAGCTGCAGCAAGCTAGGAGCTGCAGCTTTTGTCTGCTCAGTCTTGCAGAGGACTGTGCCCAAACACTATATTTCCCCAAAGGTTAAAACCAGAAGATCGTAGTACAGTAAGTGAGGCATGGTATGCCTCTGCAGTTTTCCCAATTTCAAATACAGAATAAAACCTCAAGAAGACAGTAGCCTTCTGTCATATCAGACTACCTTTCCCTCTAGTCTAGTATTATCTCTGCTGACTAGCAGCTGCTCTAGTCTCCCCGCCTCCGACCTGATCTTTTTTTAAACCGGAGGTGCCTAGCATTGAGCAGATTCTCTCTGCATGCAGAGCACATGGGATACTACTGGGCTCCCCTCCCTGCTGTTTATTTTCATAGCAGGCCACTGGAATGTTGAACATTGCTAGCTATCCGAATAGCACAGCTTACAAGGCTATGAGTACTGATCGCTCCAACTTGCCTTACGTTTGAAATAACATAGGAGAACTAACAAGAAGTTACTCTTTAAAGGGAGGCTGTACCAGTGTGGTGGGCTGGTGAGGACTGGGAAGACCTAGGTTCAAATATCTTTGCATCTGTGAGGGTCACTGAGTGACCCTGGATCAGTCAAACCACTCCACAGGGAATGAAATATTTTTTGTGAAGACAAGCAGTAATGGTTGGAAAACCCTGTAAAGATCAGTAGCTTGACTGGATGTAGCAGGAGCAGCATGGATGATCTGCTATTTACCCTGAAGACAGGCGGGAAGGCAGGATAAAAACAGCCTTGTGGCCATGGGACTGGGGGAGGGATTTTATTTTTAAATGTTAGTCATGACGGTCTTGAGCAAATATGGCCTTTCATTATATTGAACAACAAGCTTCCCGTTCTCCTTGCAACCAAGAGACCTGTTCTTCAGGTCATTAAAACCAAGAAAGACGTCGCCCTGTTTTGCGTCACTGAACATGGAGAGATTCAGAGGGTTCGGACATAGCTGGCTCTGCAGGGCTTTGCTCTTCCTTGTAGTGAGGCCTGTAGGCAAACTGTATGTCTGCTGGCCTAATGTCCTCCTTAGCACAGGTGTGAATGGAAGCCAACTAATGAGGGCAATCGTAAGAGAGCAAATGGAAAGTATAGGTGGTAAAATACCCTGTATAGGCATTTCTTTAGACATTATATGAGATGTATTTTTATCCTCAGAAGGACTAATTGTAGTTTATGGGTTCATTCACCAATCATTAATATTACATAGTTAATGAATCCAGTATTGACCTTTCTCCTCCCTTCATTAAAAAAAAAAGGATAGCTTTATGGGGGCTGGTAGTCTTGCTGAGAAAATACTTTGTCCTCAGAATCACACCTGGAGAGACAATGGCCACATCCAGTCAATCCTACAAGCTATTCCTCCATCAACCTTGTTTATACTCTTTCTTTTTCCTCCCAGTTTGGATGCAAGGGGAGGAAATTAGAAGATTGTGTTTCTACCTAGCAGAAATCCATAGTTTGCCATTTCATCCAGGATTAAAACAGCACTTGAACTGTGGTTTGGGGTCCCATGAGAGAAGTGTGGAGCACTACTTAGGACCAATTCAACCCTTATTACTGGATCATAATTTCTTTCTTTTCTTTAGTTTTATGAAGTGCTGTTTTCTGTTGGCTTAATATCTACTGTTTTAATTGTTATAATATTGTAATAATATATTTTATTTTAAATTATTGTAAGCCATCCTGAGCCATATGTTGGAAAGGATGGGATATAAATGTTTTAAATATTATAATAATTATAATTATACGTTATTTAACAAGAATGAGGCCAGGCATAAACAGCCACCATTTTAAACATGTAGCCCCCACCAGGCTGATGCCATGTCACATGAATCTAGGCATTGTTGGTTAAACAGCACTCAAGTAACCCTACTACTCATCGAGAGTTGAATGGGGGTTATGAATAACTTGCATAACCCGTAATGATTGGGTTTGCATGACCCAGCACAACCTCCTATTGCCTCAGATAGGGGGTTGCATAATGAAAATGGTGGACCTGCCTCTGAATTGATTTTCTTCTTGCTGGGGTGAGGGCAGTAGGGGAAGGACAACAAAGGAACTCTGTCAGCCCACAGTCCATCTTGGAATATAATTGCAGGAGAGACGTCATGGCTCTTTGTGAGGACAGAGCAAAGCTACTCAAGAGCCACACAGTGCTTAAGATCAGTCCTGATCTCAGACCTATTTGTGCATTATCCACTCATATGGAGGATCCTAAATCATTCTTCAGTCCTTCCTTCAGTGGGCACACACACACAGTGTTGAACCCTATGCTCCCCCTCACATAGGGCAGGAAAATGTGTGACTGTGCCCTGTTCATGTGCTCCCTCGCGCACGTGCGCTCGCTCTCTCTCTCTCTCTCTCATACATATATTTAAAAGTAAAAGCACTGCAGGTAATAAGCAGCTGCAGAATAGTGGAAGAAGCATGTTTTATCCAAGCCCTGGGTGTGCAGTCATGTTTCATGAATGCTAGAAAGAATGCAACAAAGAAAGACTTAGTGAGTCTCTGTGTTTCTTATTAAACTTATTCCATTTATTACACAGAAATTATCCCAGACAAATTTGTTTATGAAAGTACTTAGCCATCTTTGGGCATTTTAGATCTCCAGTTATTTCTAATCCTAGACATTACAAACATAATTATAAATGCTGTTGAATGAGTGCTCTCATTTCCTTAGGGATTAATTCTGTTCTTTCTTCAAAAGGGGCTTCACTTACAATTTCTCATTTTCTTTATTAGCCCTTGGATATTCAGGGTGAAATTCTCTCGGCTGGTATCAAAGTGTAGAATCCCTAAAGCAGTGGGAAAATAAACTTGTTTTCAGATGAGTTGGTCTATATGTGCACAATAAATACTAGGAATAGGTGCTTCTTTTGGCTTATTTGGCTCATTATATGCTGCTATATCTATGGAAAGTACAGATTTAAAGAGTTGTAAGGGTCAAGATCTTTGGTATATTTATTTATTCAGTTTCTGTACTGTCCAACAACCAAAGCTCTCTGTGCGGTTATATATGTGTAAATTGCCAAGAGTCATACCCTGTGCAGCACTCATACACACAGATGGAAGTTCTGCAGGGAATATATGCGTGTTCCGATTTCTTTTTCCAATAGGACCTGACCCTCAGGCAAGGCTCCTGGTGGACCAATACCATCTGTATTGTGCTGATTATATAAGAGTTCAGCCTTTCACTTACATTTTTCTGAAATGCTAATTTAAAAAAAATCCATCACCTTGGCCGGGCTCACTGATCTCCCTCCTAAATCCTCCACTGCCATGTCAAACGGACTGTAATGAAATGCCCATCAGCAGAAAGACAGGCAGCATCTGGTATGTCTGCCTTCGGCAGTGCCGTTAGATGAGAAATGGCATGCTGGTTTCAGCACCTTTTACCATTCCAACTACTAAATGTTTCAAGTATTAAAGGTACTTGTCAGTTCAAGACCAGGTTGGGGAACGGATGGGCTGGTGGCAGAATATCCTGCCTCAGGCATGTCTCATGCATGGCAAGGCTGACTGGATGTATCAGTGGGGTTAGTGTTGGTCTTTCATTCTTCAGTGCATTGACATCTGAATTGCACTGGGTTCTCTTTGTCCTTTCAGACACTATGCAGCAGGTAGCCAAGACAGTGGCGAAAGTGGAGCTGTCGGACCACGTGTGTGATGTGGTGTTTGCCCTTTTTGACTGCGACGGTAAGTGTTGCCCCTTGAACTTCTTTCAGCCAGAGTGTCGAACTCTTATTGTTTGGGAGGCACATTCCCGTAATGGCCAGGACCGATAGCAGCGTATTTTAGCTTAAAGCACATCCTGCTAGTCCCTTTGACTTAGGAGAGATGTTTCCGTATTTTAGAATGTGGGAGATGCACACAAAAGCCAGAGCCCGACTCTCTCCCCATTCAGCCCTAAAGTGCCTTTGGAGCAGTCACTGTATCAGCTGGGCTACCTCACAGAGTGGTCATAAGGACGGAGCTGGCAGAGGAGACTGAGCCATGCACACTGTCCTGTGTTCCTCGGGATATACATGTAATTATTAATATTATTTTTGGCATTTTAAAAGATATCTGAAAAATCATAAAACATAGTAAGCAGCTTGTCGTATTAAGCACCGTATCCATAGGAGTTACTGAGGACGCTGTGCAGAGGGTCCACTTACGGGATTTCTTTCACCGAGACAATTAATGGTGTTCTCTTTTCCATCACCTATGGAGAAGGCACTCACCTTGGCCTCCTCTCATCCCATACGCTTGTACAGTCCCACAGTTTCTCACATCTGCCTCAGATCACCATTTTTGACAGAAATGCAGGGTATAAATGAATTGCGTTCTTTCTCAACAGCCATCACTGAAATTTCTCTTTCTTGTGCTACCGCTGTCATGCACACAAGTCTCCAAAGTACATGGAGGATGTGCTTGTATCATTTATCAGTGACTGGCTTCCTCTTGAGGTGTGCGTCAATCTGGAGAGAGGCAGGCTTGCACAGCATGGCCAGCATTAGTGTCCCCCGCCCCCACTCCTTTTTGATCTGCCCTGCCATCCGAACCCCACCATGGTGTTACTGCATGGTATGCTTGGTTTTGAGAAATCACAGATATAAATAATGATCTGTTTCGTTTCCTGGTACCACAATTGCTTGTTGCAACATCTGAACCAGAAAGCACAAGTGGAGTGCATTTACATGACAACATAAAGCCCATTGCCACGTTTGCCAAGCTGCCAAGCAGAGAGCACCACTGACAGCTGCCATTGGGCACAACTGTCAGAAACATCCCCGCTCTTCCTGCCTTCTGCCCTAAAGATTTTCACTGGGGCAGAAGCAGGTGATCAGCCGGTCAGCACTTGAAGAAGAGCAGGGCACCCCCTTGATTCCCCTGCCTCTGCTCCCACATGGGCAGGAGCCACACAGATTCCCTGTGAGAAGAGAGTCCACTGGGCAGTTCTGCAAAAAGGAGCAGCACTGTTCAGTTGAATCCCCCTTTGCATGTGCCAGAGCAGAGCGGCCTGTGACTGGGAACGAGCCAACGGCGGAGGCGGCAGGCAGCTGGGCCGCAGCAATGAAGCGGTGGCAGCATTGGTCCCCCCCCACCCCGCACCCCAAGCTCAGCCTGGCTTTCCAAAGAGGCCTTCTCAAACTGGCGCCTGATTGGTGGCGCATCTCTGGTAAGCCAGATTGAGACAGTGGAGCCGTGTGCGAATTCGCTCCATCCCACACCTCCCAGCCAGTCACTGCCGCCCAGCTGCTTCTCTCTCCCAGGCTTGAGATGCTTTGCTTGAGATCCTGAGTGAGCGCTTGCACTCTTCCCTTCCTGAACCTCATTTTTTCCTTCCAGGCATGTTGCCTCTTCCACCATCTGAAATGGCCGCTCCCTCCCTATCCTTCACCAGTCTTCGCTCTGTGTTCTCTCCCCTTAAAATCTCCTCTGCAGCTCAGTCCATTTTGACATTGGCACAGCTTAACCAATGGTAACAGATGAGTTTGGTGCAACACTGCACTAACAAATTATGCTGCTGCTTGTATAAGTGACCTTCAGTGCAGTGTGTTTGCGGCACAGAGGGCTTTACAGGGAAATCCCTCGCACCAGGAAACACTGTGGTCACATTCACGAGCACACCATCTTTTCTGTTAGCAGATAATGTAACCCCAGACGCTGTAGGCTTCCATCCGCAAAATACATTCCTCTTAAAATCCTTGCCCACATACTTCCTGAACATCACACTTGTGCATGTAGCTGTAAACAAACAAACTTGGGTTGCTTCTGCCCCCAGCCATTCAAACTTTTTTTTGCTGATGGCTCAGTTTGTCCATTCAGGAGGTTCTTGGATATTTTCATACTTGAAGTGCTTGTATCTTAACATCATAGCAGACACTAAGAATCTTATCCCGCTTCATTTATCCACATAAGCTTAGAAAAATAAACAGAGAGAACGGTGTAGTATTTCCCTCCCATACTATTTGGACCCAAAGGCAAGGCTGTTCATTCACACATACAGCCGGGAGGTGTGCCAGAGAGGATATTCTGAGGATTTAGCAGCTGTTCTATGCTGGGTCAGACTGTATGTCGCTGACTAGCTGTGGCTCTCCAGGGTTTCAGGAAGGATTCTTTCTCAGCTCTCCTTGGAGAGGCCAAGAATTGACCTTGGGCCCACCTACATACAAGTGCAGCGCTACAGCCCTTCGCACTTTTTTGTGGCTTCTAAAAAGCATTAGATTAAAAATGTGTTTAAAGTGTGTTTCTTGTAAATGTTATCTAAGAGTCATAATGCTTGATAGTGGAACCTCCACATTAAAAGGAAATATACCATGGATTGTTGGATACTGGGGATGAATGAGGTTATTATAGGTGTTCTCTTTTGCTTGTGAGATTCCCAGGAGCAAGTGCCTGACCATTTTGGCCTGCCAGAGCTCAGGCGAGTTCTCTCCCCAGCCCTCATCCCCAGAGGCTAGGGGGGAAGGAAAAAGGGAGAGGAATCCCTGCTGTTACCTCTTATCACAAATCAGGGATAACTGGGGGAGGGGAGGGTCCCTTAGTGTGCTGCTTGTTGGGCACACTGGTGCTTTCCCCACCCTGGGTTCTTCCCAGCAGGGGAAGAGGTAGGACAGGCAGTGCTCCTGTCTCTTGGTGTTCGTTGCAGAGAGAGGCAGGAGGCATTGCTCTTGCTTCTGCGCCCTTCTGCGCCTTTGCTTTTCCCTGCTTGGGGTGAAGATTCCAGGGAGTGGGGCTGCCTTCTAACATTATCCACCCCAGGCAGGGTGGTGGAGGGGGAGGGGGCAGGGGCTGAGCCAGATTGCAGCCCAGACTGGGCCAAATTGTTCATCCAGGGAAGTTGTTCTTACATGCTTTGCTGTCTTGCTTGTGTTCCTGAAACTGGAGATACTGTTTGATTCTGCCATGCTTGTAAGCTAATGAAAAAGAAAGTGTTCTGAGGAGAGAAGATCCTTATGTGAGGATGGTCCTTTGAAAGATACACAGCATCACATCAGCTTGCCTGTAACAGAAGCCAAGGCATACAAGCAATGGAAATGCAAATTGGATAAATAGATTCATTTTGAAACAGGTTGCATTGTGAGGAGAACCAAGAACAGAGTTAGTGCTAAAAGTTACTGTTAAAAGATCCTTCAGCAGGCCATTTAGTTATTTGAAAGTCAATACAGAAGGGCTCCCTGTTGGCTGAGTTTCTCTGGTCTCTGAATTCCTCACTTCCATCAAGCCTTCCTTGGCTAAGGTTTAGAATATGAGCAAGGGACCGTTTCGTGCAAAGAAATAATTTGGAAAAGACAGGTTCCAAATGACAAGCAAAAGGCACTGGGATTAGAGTTGGCACAAATTGTCTCTTTTTTCTCTGTCAAGCGGTCTGGGAGAAGCAAACATGCCTAGAAAATTGATAGCAAATTGGAGTGGGATTTCAAAGGGCTAACTCTTGAGCGGTTTGCTGGGTGACAAGAGTGGATGCATAATGTGGTTGTCTTGTTGGTCACTCTCCCTCCCATCTTCCAGCAGTTCCCTTTCTGTATTCTTAGTTTAATTTATCTACAGGTAAAACTCATCCACAGAACTATTCCCAGCCTTGGAGATCATTGGCATGAACACATGGTATGGCTCCTGCCTCATATTGACATATTGACTGCCTTTCTTGACAGTCGCAGCCTTCCTGCAGAAGCTTCTGCATTTGCTGTTTCCCGTCTTCCGTTTTAATAAACTGTCACTATTGTTGTGTGACCTTTTTTAAATTTGGAAAGCTCTTACATAGACTCTGGTTTTCCTCGTGCTAATTCTTGCTTGGCGAAGAAGCTGTGCTGCACAGCAGAATGGGCCCATTTTCATTGTGTGAGTTGCCTTTAACTCAAACTTCCCTAATAGCTTTTTAAATTCACCTCAATTCTTGCAAGGCTGTTGCTTGTGCTGAGCTAAAGAATTAGAAAGTAGAGCTGAATTCAGTTACAGAGACAAGGATATTTCAAAAGGCACTGGCAAAATGAATGCCTGTTTTCTGGTTTGCAAATTGCCATTTCCTTGTATATTAATCTTGCCCTGTTCAAGTGTCATCTTTGTTACAGGCGCCGTACAGGAAAATGTAACCTAGATCTAAGCAAATAATGAGCTTGCAAAAACATGTTAACAATCTGTTCAGCTACATGCAAGTTAAGAATTCTTGTCTCTTTCAAATGCTTCCCGTATAATATATGTGGAAGATTATACTATGTAGTTGGGATGCTTAAGAATTATGCTTATTCTGCATTTTGAAGCAAAATCCTCCGATTCACACCTCCTGAACTAATATATGTATCTTCTCCCAAATTTTGTGATAAATTATGTGGCTTTAAGAACTATACTACAGAAAAATGCATGCAAGAGTACATTTTATGTTGAAATGCATATCAAATGTGTATAACAATGTGTATCAATTTTCATGTGGTTCTGTTACGAGACCAGGAGGAGAATCATTTTTCTTCCTGATAGACCCCTTCTTTACGTGGGTTCTCCAGGCAAAGAATCTCTGATAGGCTACCAGCAGTCAGGATGAATTTTCTGATACCCCCTCATCTGCCAGCTGCTTGGAGAGTCTTATCACTAAGGGCCTCTTCCCAAAGCCCAGAAGCAAAGAACTTCCCCAGACCCTTTTAAAATACATGCACATGAGGGAGAGTTCAGTGCCAAATCTCTTTTAAAGCAACACAGCCAAATGGCATACTGGAAGCCCAAGGTGTTTGGCACCAGTCAAGGAGTATGCTTTGCTACCCTGTTTCCCCAAAAATAAGACCTAACCAGAAAATAAGCCCTAGCATGATTTTCCAGGATGCTCGTAATATAAGCCCTACCCCCAAAATAAGCCCCAGTTAAGAACATCAGCCAGACGGACGCATTTAGTACGTCCGTTGCAATGCAGTTTGGGGTTTGGAGAGTTACGACAATGTTCCAGAAGAAGATGACATGACTGTATTTGAATAAATGTAGATTTTTGCATGAATAAATGTAGATTTTTGTACATGAATAAATGAATAAATTTAGATTGATTTACATGAAAAAATAAGAAATCACCTGAAAATAATCCCTAGTGCACCTTCTGGAGCAAAAATTAATATAAGACCCAGTCTTATTTTTGGGGAGACATGGTAGATAAAACTATTTGGGTTCCCAGCAGGATGCGTAGTGACTGGTATCTAGAGCAGCAGTCCCCAACCTTTTTGGTACCAGAAACTGGTTTCATGGAAGACAGTTTTTCCACAGGTCAGGGTCAGCGTGGTGGTGTTGGGATGATTCCAGAGCATTAAATTGTGTGCACTTTATTTCTATTATTACGTTGTGAAATATAATGAAATAATTATACAGCTTGCCATACTCCCCCCACCCCTGACCTGCAGCCCAGTCCTTACCTGCTTCCTGGTTCCCTCACTGCCCGCATGCGCCCTCCCTGGCTTCTCTGCACTACTTGCCGCCCAGTTCTGCTGCTGCTACTCCCACCCAAGACCCAAAAGAGCCCTAATGATCATCCGGATTTGCAGCCGCTCCCCAGCACCAGCATCACCACCTCAGCTCCACCTCAGATAAAGAGGCATTCAATTCTCACAAGGAGCGCACAACCGAGATCCCTCGCATGCGCAGTTTACAGTAGGGATCGCGCTCCTCTGAGAATCTAATGCCTGGAGATCTGAGGTGGTGCTGAGGCGGAGATGCTAGCGCTGGGGAGTGGCTGCAAAGACGGATGAAGCTTCGCTCACCTGCCTGCCACTCACCTCCTGCTGTGCGGCCCCAGTTCCGCATAGGTCATGGACCAGTACCAGTCTGTGGCCCAAGGGTTGGGGAGCCCTGTCCTAGGAGACTGAGTGGGCGGGAGTACTTACGTGTAAATTGCAGTACAGAATGTGAGCCAGGAGGATGTCAGTTATCCCATGTTACTATGAGTAATCAGACTGAACCTTGGTTGTAAATTCTGTCATCTTCTTTATATTGACCCAAGTTTGCACTGCACCACCAATTATTTCAAGTGCGTGTGATGTTAATTGAGATATGCCTTTTTCCTCTCTTTAAAAAGTAACATTTCTTTTGTCATAAATGGCATGAGTGGAAGAGTGGTCCAAAGAGGAAGCCATTTAATAAGCATGTGTGCATGTGCAACTTGCAGGTGTTAGGGCTGTAAACAGTAAAGATGGAGAATGCAGGACGGGTTCATGCCACTAAAGTACTTCTGTGCAGAGTTAGAAAATGTGGAAGAACACAGAGCGTGGGAAGATAGGAAGGGAGTCAGTTCTGGAGGCTACAATGCAATGCATTGTATTTGTTTAAAATTCCCTTGGCAACTTGGTTTATTTTGTTTACTTTCATCTGTTCTGTTTCTATTAGTTTTTCCCCTATTCTACATTTTCTTCTATGTATTTGTATATGTTAAGAAAATAAAAATTTTAAAAATTGTGAAAGAAGAAAATAAATGTTACCTACAGCAATACAGTATTGCCCAACTCTGGACTCCAGTACTGTTATCCATGGTGAGGACGGTGAAATCTAAGCTTTCATGAACTTTGCTACACAGTAAATTTTGTGGGGAAAGGGCACCAATTTTGTGGAAAAAGGCATTACTTCAATTAATGTACTTGTTTAAATTTTAGTCTGTGAAATCAGAACACACTGTAGTTTGTAGAGGACCAGGGTATTCTTGATCTGTTTTGTGATCATTATAACCCAGACTACAGTCCTGCGACTACAACTTAGGTGTTAAAGATGCAGGTGTGTTTTCTTCTTCAGTTACCCTTCTAAGGAGATTCCCCCAGCCCCCAATTGACCCTAGGGTTAATGTGAAGAATTGGAGAGTTGTGTGACACCCAAAAACTTTATGGGCATAAGAGAATTGTTAAAAGCCACAGGCAACTGGAAAGTAAATTGCTGAGACCAGAAGGGTGGGTAGTGAACCAAGGCCAGAGAGAGAAAACGTGATAGGCTCTGCCCAAGTGGTTAGAAGTTGCAAGTTCTCTGGGCTTCAGTAATGGGTCTGCCAGAGCTCATTCCTTTCCGTGAACATGTATCCCATTTTTCAATCTAGGAAGGCATTAAGGAATTAATGGTTGGCACCAATCTCCTACTGTGGCTTGTTCAGACATCACAAGCAATATGTGCACTGAATTAATATTAAAGGTAGAACAAACTCAGCGCAGTGTCTGTATAGAGGGACCCCAAAATAATTCTGCTCTTTAAGCTTTTTGGCTGCTGCTTTTTTGAGTTTACTGGAACAGTTTCTTTTTTTAAAGGCTCTCTTAACTGATTTCCCCTTCTCCCATCAGGCAATGGAGAACTGAGCAACAAGGAGTTTGTGGCCATTATGAAGCAAAGGCTTATGAGGGGCCTAGAGAAGCCCAAAGACATGGGGTTTACACGACTCATGAGGGCCATGTGGAAATGTGCACAGGAGACTGCTTGGGATTTCGCCATGCCCAAATAATACCTCCAGACCAGAAGAGAAAGCCCGGCTTCAATGCGCAGATGAGGATCTTGGATTCTGCTGTGGCCATCATTTCAGATGCTCCGCTAATGAAGGCCTTGTCCGATGGGATGATCACAGGCAATTGCTGGACTGAAAAACAAGCTCTGGAAGGCAAACGATGTTAACCACAAATTTTCCTTTAAAATACTTATGCAGAAATTCAAGCACATTCTGCCTCTGAACAGCTGTTTCCCTCGCATATGCATTCAGATGCACGCATTTCCCCTATTTTCGTCTCAGTTTCTCCTTTTTAACTTTCAGGAAGGAAACAAAGCAACCCACCAGAATATTTAACCTGGGATGTTGCGGCTGTTGCTTCTGTCTCCCCCTTAAATTGGCCGAGCGTGGACATTCCAAAGAACGGCCTTGCTTGTACCAGCAGTGACAAGAATTTTAAATACTGTTGGGTAAGGAGGTTCATCAGATGCTCCCAGCACTTCCTCTTGTCCTGCTCTTGAAGTTTACTTGAAGTTTCTAAAGTGTAGGGCCAAACATCAAAATGTGTACTGTTCTTTAAGTTGGCCATCGGCTTCCAAACAAAGGATGGCCAGGGGAAAGGGTGGGGGTGAGTGAAATGATTCTGAGCAAGCTTGTTTCTGCACAAATGCCTGCTTGCTTGCAACAAGTGGCATCTGCTCCATCATACCCAAGATTGGGAAGGTATAAATAGGCAAGATGGTTGAACATTTGAAGTATTTTGCACTTTCTCCTACCACCCCTTCCTTGGGATCCCTGACTTGTACATGTGATCCAATGTATATCCTCTGATCTGTGATTTTTCCTCTTAATGAGAACGTTAGCTCATCATGATTTGTTCTCCCATATAGTCTGAACGCTGCCCTTTACAGAGCTCCAGAGCGCTTGTAAAATATTACTTCAATTATAATGGTTCCCGACAAAAAGCAAACGTTCCTATGTCATCTTTCTCTTTTTGGGAAGTCTCATGAATTTAACCAGGTTTGACTTTCTGTTGGCAGCAGGTCCATAAAATTCAGTCATCTTGCCGCCAAATGGAAAAGGGGAGGAGGGCAATTTGGGAATGTGCCGGCTCTCCCATTACTGCTTCAGAAAGAGAGGAGATGACGAGATTGCGTTCAGATGTGAGCATGCCCAAATGCTAAGTATTTTATTTGTTTTTCTAAGTAATAAAATGTTAGTATTTTTGTTTTAATTTGATTACTTTTATTTGAAATAAAATTCCTGTTATTGCTGCCATTAATCAACTCATCATCCCTCTTCAAAACCTTGTGAATGAAAAAAAAATCTAGCCAGAAATAGTAGCAAAAAATGCTAATAAGGGTTGCAGACTCAAAAGCAAGTTCTGACTTTTAGGATCTACAGAACGTGTTTCTCATTTTAAAACAAGGGGTCATACGATGAATCTCATGTTGAATACTGATCAGTCATCTCAAGGGTTCCATCCATCCTTGCAATCTAAATCTTCCAGGCTGCTATAATAATCTGTCACTCCTGCGCTTGTTTGAAAGGCTGGCAGACTCAAACACTTGCTCCACAATTGTCTATTTAGATGCATGGGAAAAGGGGGTTTCGGTACTTCCAGCACGGCCGTACAGTATTGCCGATACGGTAGAGCCGCATTGGACCAGGTACCCATTGCAGAAGCTTGGAGAAGAGCAGTAACGAAACCCCACTGGAACATGTAACACATGTGTCCAAAAGCCAGGCGTTCCATTTGCCCCTTATCATGTTTTAAATTCAGACTCCATTTGTGATGGCAGAGCTACGCCAGGAGTAAAGATAACCGAGGAGAGAAGCTGTTGTCTTTCATAGGAAAAGCTCAGGTTCAGTCAGTGCCCCGACACCCCCTGGCTGCAGTAGGTGGAGGAGGAAACACGTCGTGCAGTTCGCACTTTGCGGCAGTGCCTGAGTTTCAAAGAGCCCTTCCAGCAGTTCTGTTGAGCAGCCTAACTAGCTGGCAGGCGTTCTTACCCTGAGGGGTGCATGAGCTCTTTTAACATTCACCTCTGCTTGAAATAGGTATGCTTGAAAATATGTATTTCCACTGTTCCTGTGCTAAGGAAGGTATGTCACATGCAGGTCCAACTGAATGCGGAGAAAAGAGAAAAAAGAGACCGGGAATGGGCACAGGCATAGAGAGTGGGGAAGCAGCTCTGGAGTCATGAGCAAACATGGCCAGGCTCCGAGGGAGGGGGCCTATGGAAGGGCGTGTTGCCCCAGCAGCCCTCAGAAAATTGGAGTGACAGTAGGCTGGGATGGGGGGTGGGGAGCAACAAGATATCAAAAAAGCTGCTGCTTCAAAAGAGCATCCTCCTGCATTACATGGTCAAAAATGCAGCAGGTGCAGCTTGCACATGAATATTGGCAGTGTGGTGTGTATCCTCGAACTCCATCAGGGATGGAATTGAGCCTGGGAATGAAGCTGGAAGGAAGCATGTATCCTGCCATTCACTTTCCTTCAATTTGTAGGCTGAAGTAGAGGGGAGACGAGACCCTAATGATGTGCACCCTCAGGCATGTGCTCTCCCCATTAGACACTTTAAACTGTGGTGAGGACGAGTTAACAGACTTAGATTTCAGGGGTCATGGGAGAGAAGAGATTCGCTTTGGGGGCTATTCGTTTTCTGTGGCCAGTAGCCCACCCCACTGGTCATCTACAGTAGCTGGTCTTGTGAAGGCAAGCATTCTCTCTGCACAACTTGGGGTTGTGCATCCCCAACACGGGGACTCAAATCTGGACAGATCTCCTATGAGGAGGATTCCCTATATTAAGGAAGAGTATTTTCCTGGGCTCCAAGATCACTGCAGATGGGGACTGCAGCCAAGAAATTAAAAGACACTTGCTTCTGGGGAGGAAAGCTATGGCAAATCTAGACAGCATACTGAAAAGCAGAGACATCACCCTGCCAACAAAAGTGCGTATAGTCAAGGCTATGGTTTTCCCAGTTGCAATGTGTGGCTGTGAAAGTTGGACCATAAGGAAGGCTGAGCGCCGAAGAATTGAGGCCTTTGAATTGTGGTGCTGGAGGAGACTCCTGCGAGTCCCTTGGACAGCAAGACGATCAAACCAGTCTGTCCTAGAGGAGATCAACCCTGACTGCTCTTTAGAAGGCCAGATCCTGAAGATGAAACTCAAATACTTTGGCCACCTAATGAGAAGGAAGGACTCACTGGAGAAGAGCCTAATGCTGGGAACAATAGATGGCAAAAGAAGAAGGGGACGGCAGAGGATGAGGTGGCTAGATGGAGTCACTGGGGCAGTGGGTGTGAGCTTAAGTGGACTCCGGGGGATGGTGGAGGACAGGAAGGCCTGGAGGAATGTTGTCCATGGGGTTGCGATGGGTCGGACACGACTTCGCGACTAAAAACAACAACTTATTATGTGTGGTTATATCAGGGAGATCACTCAAAACTGTGATCATAGCTACAGGGAGCATTTTCTTTAACAGTGAAATCTTGATGCAGGTGTCCCTCTCCTGCACTGGTGCTGCTTTTTGCCAGGATCGTGCCATGCATGATAAACATTTCAAAATAAAACTTCCTCTTCACTGAAGCCCCAACCCGAACCAGACTCCCAATAGCCGCTATTTAAAGTAGGAAAATGCAGTGCACAAAGTCAAATAGTGGATTTAATGGAATGTGTGGTGCAGCCCTGAGAGCCCAGGCCTGTCCCTAGCTGTGGGTAAGCAAAAAATGAATTCTTTTCCTGTGTTAACAAGAACTAGCACTGATCACATTTGGGATCGTTTTTACCCCAGATGAAAGTACCTCAGGCAAGACAAGTGCTGCACAGAAAAAGCTTTTTCTGGCTGGAATTTTCCCCCAGGAGGTTTCAACCCAAGAATGACTTTCAGCCGTCAGGAAGTACAAGCAATTTAAAGTTTAATCCTTCATGAAGTTAATGCAAAACAAGAAAATCTGCATAACAAGCCTACTAATTTTTCAAGTCATAGCATAGCTTTCCCTCAATGGATTTAATTGTTTTCTGGAAGTTTAACTAAGAATCTTAGCTGCACAACTATTCCATGGTACTTTTATGCCCCAAGTGAGTTTTGTTTTATAGGAAAAATAACCTTTTAAATGATGGGAAGCTGAAATTTGGAGACATTTTAGACTAGGCATGTCAATGTCCCAGAAGACCGAGTTGGTGGGAGTACTCATGTGTACATTGCAGTACAGAATGTGAGCTAGGGGAATGCCAGGTATCCCATGCTGGAGGAAGAGAAGGCAGCTCCGTGCTCTGAATCCAGGCAGTCCAGCATAATTTGGCACCATGCCCAGCTGTACCACTCTCTTGCAGAAAGCTTACAAAGGAGTGGTTCGTAATGGGCAAATGGGGATGGAGTTAAGCTATGGATACTAGTTCAATTGATAAGCCTGAAATCTTACCTTCCAGGACAGCTTGGCTGGTGCATGGTATTCCCCTGGAAGGGGTTGCAAGATCTTTTTCCACAGGCTGAATCAGCTTAGAGACTGGAACCTCCGAGGCACCCTGCTGATTGGTTTCCTTTGGACTCTACCCTGAATCAAGACCACTAACTAATACATCAGGAATCCATGATACATTAAGCTCTTCTGGATATGTTCATGCCAATTCATCGACAGGCACAAATGAAATTACATATCAACTATTCCAGGCTGCAGTCCTTATACATATTTACATGGATGTTAATCCTCACTGAACACAAGGAGACTAACTTCTGAGGAATCACGGAAGGGGCCAGTAAGGCCATCAAGTCCAATTTCCTGCTACAGACATCAATCCCTGGAAAAATTCTGGAGCAGATTATAAAGCAGTCAGTCCACAAATACCTTGAAAGCAATGCAGTAATCACTAGAAGCCAACATGGATTCCTCAAGAGCAAATCCTGCCAAATAAATCTGATTTCATTAATTTATTGGGCAACCTCCCTGGTACACTCTGAGAATGTTGTGAACATCATCTATCTCTGTTTCAGTAAAGCTTTTGACAAAGTGCCCCATGATATCCTGATTACCAAACTAGCGCAAAGTGGACTTGATAGAACAATGATCAGGTGGATTCACAAAATCAGGTGACTATAGAATGGGACTCAAACAGTGCTTATCAATGGCACCTTCTCAAATGGGAGTACTGCAGGGTTCAGTTTTTGACTCAGACCTCTTCAAAGGCAGGAAATAATTATCAGATTTGCAGATGACACAAAACAGGGTGAGATAGGTAATACCCTGGAAGACAGACAGAAGATTGAGGGTGATCTTACTCGGTGGAGCACTGGGCTGAAAAGAACAGAATGAAATTCTATAGGGACAAATGCCAAGTTCTGCATCTAAGGAAAATTTATTTATTTATTTATTTATTTATTTATTTATTTATTTATTTATTTATTTATTTAAAGGTTTTGTATGCCATCCCCTTGCTATATATCCTCGGGACAGCTCACACACGAAATAAACAATAAATGTAGTGTTACAAGATGGGGCTCAACATTACTGCAAATGAGAGGGGTCTTGCAACTGTTGTAGATCACAAGTTGAATACGAGTCAACAATGTGATGTTGCTGCAAAAAGGGCAACAGCTAGTTTAGGCTGCATTGATAGAAGTATCACTTCCACATCCTGTAAAGTACTAGTTTCCTTTTACTCAGCACTTCATCTGGAGTACTGTGTCCAATTCTGGGCATCACCGTTTAAGACAGATGCAGACAAGCTGGAAAGGATTCAGAGGAGGTTAACAAGGATGATCCACAGACTGAAAACAAAGCCCTGTGCGGAGATACAGAAAAAACGGGACCTGTTTGAGCCTTGAAAAGGGAAGACAGAGGAGAGAGATGACAGCACTCTTGAAAAGCTGTCACAAAGAGGAAGGACAGACTTTTCAATCATCCCATAGTTCAGGACCTGGAATAATGGGTTCAAGTTACAGAAGACCTGATTCTGGCTAGGTACCAGGAAAAAATTCCTGACTGTGCTGGGGAAATCCAGAATAAATCCTGGTAGAAAAAGGTTGCCTATGTGTACCTTTGTGTTATAAAATCAAACCTGCACTCCCTTTTCAGAAAGCAGCAGAATTCCAAGCCAAGGTTACTGTTTAACATTGCTGTTCCTTTAAGAAGATGGAATTCTTAGCTGGAATGAGAAACTGCTATAGGCTAATACTATGGGTGGGAAGCAGGGTCAGGCCTGGTTGGAATCTGGATGGGGGACTTCAGTGTTGTGAACCACCCAGAGAGCTTCAGCTATGGGTGGTATAGAAATAA